TGAGCTTCTGCAAGAACCAATGAGGTTCATTCTCGTGTTACGCATCACGTTTGAGCTTCTGCAAGAACCAATGAGGTTCATTCTCGTGTAACGCATCACGTTTGAGCTTCTGCAAGAACCAATGAGGTTCATTCTCGTGTTACGCATCACGTTTGAGCTTCTGCAAGAACCAATGAGGTTCATTCTCGTGTAACGCATCACGTTTGAGCTTCTGCAAGAACCAATGAGGTTCATTCTCGTGTTACGCATCACGTTTGAGCTTCTGCAAGAACCAATGAGGTTCATTCTCGTGTTACGCATCACGTTTGAGCTTCTGCAAGAACCAATGAGGTTTATTCTCGTGTTACGCATCACGTTTGAGCTTCTGCCAGAACCAATGAGGTTCATTCTCGTGTTACGCATCACGTTTGAGCTTCAACAAGAGGTTAGGTTGAGCTTCTGTTTATGTTGATCAATGTTTAAATGTGAATAAAAGTCAAATTCAATCTATTCAGTATATAAAGTGATCAAGCTTTTTCAGAAAATTATTTTACGATCTCTTTATGAACTTTTTGAAGCGTAAAAGTGGTAGTTGTGTAGCAGTCTATGGATGGACAGAAATCGCTCAGACTTCTCTGAAATCACTGTGTGTGACAACAACGTAGAGTACAACTACTGCTTGAAATATTTAAAGTTGCTCACAGACTTAAGAAATAGTATACAGGGTTGCACGTTCATGTAAAACATGAAATATTAAGGGATTTTAAAGTCTGAAAGTCATGGAAATTAATAAAATTTTCAATAGAAAATTTTATATTGAGTAAAAAAAATAGTGAGTAAAAAAAATTCTGATGTTTATCCAAAACATTACTGGAGTATGTTTACAAGAAAAAAAAGTCTTTCTACTTCAAAATTTCACATTTAATTATTTTACTTGCCATTCATTGTAATTATGTGTGAAATTGAGCAGCAATTGCAAGTGAAAATTATTTTAAAGTAAATATTTTCAGTGTACTTACATACAGTTCTCTCTCTATAAATCCCTATAAAAAGATGAAGAAAAAAAGAAGAGTAAATCCAAATGAAAAGCCATGAACCTTGAGTATGTATACTGCAGTATGCTAGTCTTTCATTCCAGAATCTGATTCCTCAAGAGCTTCAGCTTTGTGTTATCGCCTCCTGCTGGTGGGACACAGAAACGGGATTACCTCCAGAAGGATTAATTCTCCTGTCATAAATTGTACCAAAAGCCAATTATTGATTTAATATCTCTTCTTATAGAACAGGAACTCCATTTAAAGCACATGGCAAGATAGAAAAAAAGCAGCAGGATAACCAAAGGACAGGTAACGGCTACAAAGACTGAAACTTGTGAAGGTCTGGAGTGAAAGTCCAGCGAGTCTTCAGACATCAGAGAGACAGATGAAAGAGCATCTCATTCCTGACACTCGTGACCTTCAGCCGGACATTCGGAGCGCTTCGGGAACGTCTTGCTTCGTGTGTTTCACTGTATGTGCAGAAGGACAAGTTTCCAGATTTAACTTAAATTATTAAAAAATAGGTGTTGAGTCTCAAAGCCTTTCAAGAACATAAGCATAAAGATATTAGTTCTGTTTTAGGACAAGAGTTTTGGCACTGTGACATTATTTTCACGACTATAAAAACACATTTAAGATCAAATTCAAATGCAAAACATTCCAGGATATTGATAATTTATCACATTTAAGATCAAATATTCAAATTCATTGCATGCAAAAGCAAAACATACTGATAATTTAAAATGTAAATATGTGTAATGATGATTTTAGAAAAAAAATTAATGGTCTAAAACAGGCTTTTATGTTTTCAAAATATTGATTTTCCTTTTGTGGTAAATTATGTTCTTAAAAGTCAGCTTTTAAAATTTAAACATCAGATCAAATTGAAATAAATAACATTATTACTTAAATACTTACAAAAAAGTAATATTAAAACATAAATCAAGTAAAGTCGTGAATGAATCTGCTCTGACGAAACATCCTGCAATCAGAAACACTGCTTAATTAAAAGAGAAACTGACTGACGTGATTAAAAGAGAAAACACACACGCATCAGCATTAAACCTGCAGTGATTCATCTGAAAATCACCATTAATAACCTCAATATCAACACCTAGATAAATATTTAAAGATCATAATCAGCAAGTATTAATGTCACAACTAAAGGGCAACTAAAATAAAACTCTCTCAGACACACGAGTGGAAAACTCAGGTTTCGTTTATCTAGAGCAAATAGTTTACAGATAGCAAATCCTACACAGGTGAAAGTTAACAAAAACAGTTCATATATACAGCTGCCATAAAGCACAACGTGTGAAATAAATACAGACATGATATCAAACATGAGCATCTAAACTGAAGGCATGCGCAGCATGTGAAGCTCTATGTCTGAATCTACTTGCATTAGCAAAGCGTTTATGCAAAACTCCCTTCAGCAAATGAGCTTTATCCACAGTTCACTAGTCAAGCAGGAACATCAGAGTTGGTGATTTACTCGGTAAGATCTTTACAACACTGAGTTGCTTATCATACTGAATTAAAGATTCTAGCAGGTCCATATGTAGTTCACTATAAAGTATTTACAATCTGAACATTTGATTCTCTTACCACCAGCATTAATGAAGTGAACAGTAGTGACGTCTGTGTAGTGAAGGTGTATTGATTGCCAGAAATCTTCAAACTCAGGGTACTTTACACGACAACGATTTACTAAAAGTGGAAATGGTATCATTTAAAAAAAAACTTGCACTTTGAAACCTTTGCATTTTCAGGCACGCAAAATGCCATTTTTTGTAAATGAACGGCCAAAATGCATACATTTTTTTATTTTTTTTAGTTTAAAAACGTCATGTAAACGGGCGCTTAGGAATGTGTTTAAAATTTAAGGGGCCGTTACACGACACCGTTTTCAACTTCCAATTTTTTTATGCGTGCACGTTTATTTATACGACAATGGCGTTTTTGGGGCCTTAAAACGCAAACTTTTGAAAACGGGTTTCAGAGTGCAAGGTTTTGAAAACGATACCGTTATTGTCTGTGCATATCTGCATATATTACATGTTGAGTCTATACACGAATCCGACGAGCGTTCTGTGTAGGCTGCCATCTTGTGGCGACGCCATTACTGAGCTGTGACCGGTATGTAAACAAACCTCCGTGATAACCATAGACTGTGATGATAACGCACCCTCGATGACAGCTCTATGTGACAGCTACAGCCAGGCAGAATGACTTGTTGGGTTGATGATGTTAGACAGTGGCCTCCAGTCACAGATGAAGGTACAAACGATCTTACAGATTATTTATGAAAATAGCTTGGCAAGCCAGCTAGGCTAACGTTAGCTAACGAGGAAACTATAAAAAGATCTGTCCATTTGGCAACAATAAATAAATGAATGACATCAAATAAACGAATTCATGTTTTTCATTTGTGTCCATTATTTATCTCATTTTCACATTGCAAAAGGCAAGGGTAAGGTACAGCTAGAAAGTATACATAATATCGACCAATTCGTGTTTTTAAACCATGGAAAGAGGTCAATATAACAGCAGGAGAACAATTATGTCACATAACGTTACATTTAGCTCAGGAAAGCCATTTAATGACCATAGCATGTTAATTGAATAGAAAAAATAGCTAGAGAGGAGATTTTGCTGAGCACTATATTACATATTTATTATATTTTTTACTTATGTCATTAAATAATTGTTATTATAACAAAAACTACATTATATTTAATTTAATTTGTTATTTTAATGTTATTTAAAAAAAATTCTGTCACAGTCAAGCAAATCAAACATTAACAACAGACATAACAGTAATGTTACTAACGTCACTGCTCCAATGCGCCCTTTACTGCCGCCACTGAAACAATTTAAACTGGAACATGTTTTCCCACTCGACATTATACAAGTTGTAACGTTAGTGACAGTCGTAAATCACGGGCTGTTTATTCCAGTGGACGCAAGTTGCAACTAAAACAATAGGAGGCAATGGCGCAATGCTACCCAGCAACAGCTCAGTAATGGCGCCCGCTTACTTCCGGTAGTTTCGCCGGATTCGTCTATAGGGGCGCAGTTTCTTTACAAAGTGACATCGCCATCTACTGCCCAAACAGCAGAATACATTGTTTAATCCGTTTTCGTGGATCGGCGTGAATTGTTTTAACAACGTTGTCGTCTGTACGCGAAAAACGCGAAGGCAAGACTTTTCCGTTTTTAGTACATCGCTGTTGTGTAAACGTACCCTAAATTATATTATCTTCATTGTCTATTTTTTTATACTAAATGAATACATTGTAACAAATACTAGAAGGATTATAGATGATTCACTCCACAAAATCACCAGTTTTTTGTGTGGAATATTCTTTGGGATTTCTAACAGGAGCGGATAATGTGACTTTGTTTTCATGGTAAGGCGCTTAAATTCAAACCCCCCCCCCCAAAAAGAAGGAAAAACGAATGAAATCTAAAGGTAAACGTTCAGCAAAAGCACAGAGTGATTCATTTAAGCACCAAGATTTAAAACCGTTTACAAAAAAGACTAGCAGAGCACTTTAAACGGCCGAACAGGCGCAAACCGCCCTGAACCACAAAACTGCAAATTGACTACTAGTAAAAATCCAATTTGGATAATTTTTTTTTAGTTAAAATTATTGCTCTAAAACTTCAGATACGCTTATACATTGTTTGATACCACAGCATGTCAATAATCCTGCAACTAATTTAGTGTTTGTAAGTGGAAGCTTTCGTTTTAAACCTGGCCGAGTGTGGTTTGGGATCATCTGTTTGATTTTTAAATGAATATTGAGGGAGATTTTAATACTTCTAAATCTAAGATTATCAAATTGTGTTTGTTTTAAAAAAAAATGTGGTCCTTAAATCACAAAAGGAGAACTTTAGTTAAAGGAGAACTCCCTGTTAGTGTTAAAATAATCATGGTCCTCCAAAAATACCTTCATGCTAACAGATCACTGGGATGTGCAACGCTGGAATGAGAGATTTCAAACTAAATTTGCTCTTTTACAATCAGACTTTGAGCAAAAACCTCTTCTCCTGTTGGCCAGACATGAAACAAATACTGTACAAATACAATCTCTGTTCTTGCATATTTTCAGATGCGCAAAAAAATGACACTCATCACTAAAAACCAAAAGCGTTCTAGAAAACTGGAGGCAGCAGCAGAGTTAAAGACGTGAAACTACAACGGACGAGTGCTGACGCTGGAGGTTTGAAACACGACTCCTGATTGGCCGATTGGACAGAACTTTACGTGTGCTTTGAATATGAGGAAGTTAAACGCCACTGCAAAAATGTAACGGTAAAAAGTAATAAAGCATTAGAGAATAAAAGTCGTCGCAACAGCTCTCTCACACAAAGGCACAACTTCTGCGCACACACACACTCACACACACTCTCTCTCTCTCTCACACACACACACACACACACACACACACACACACACACACACACACACAATGTTGGTAGCAGATGTTCATTCAAGCACAAACGCAACCAATCACAAACCCCAACAGGCTGCGGTTAAAGTTAAAGTAAGTGTAAGTGGTTGCACCTCTTAAATGAATCATGTGCCCTTTAATAAAGCAAATGTGCACCTAAACAAGATCTACTCGCACGATGGACCAAATGTGCGAAGTCTTCTGAGAGCGTTTCAGGACGGGCCTGTAGAGCGAGTGTTCAGCTGTGAGACGAGACGTCTGAGGAACTGCTGCTGTTGCTGTTGGTGGTCTGAGCTCGCTTGATGTACAGGTTCAGTAACTTCATCTGTTGGAGACAAAACAGGGACATTACAGGGTTTTATCGCTCACTAAAACCAAAACCATCCCAAAAAATCATATAATTTATTAGATTTTAGCTAGTAGACAATTTCTTAGCTTAATTTGAAGTTGAATTACGGATTGAACTAAAATAATTACCGTATTTTCCGGACTAGTCACACTTTTTTTCATAATTTGGCTGGTCCTGCGACTTATATATCAAAATTAATTCATACTGACTGATGCCCCGTTTACACGAAGGAAAGACGCAGATATTTCCCTGCGGTTTGGCCCCTCATTTACACGAAAACCCCGTTTTTATCACAGAAAACGATTATTTCTGTTCTATTAAAACTCCGGCCAAAGTGGAGATTTCTGATAACGCCGGTCATGTGTTGCCGTGTCGACTGGGAGAAACGGGGTTTTAGGTTCTCAAACGTCACATTATGCGCCAGAAAATGCTTAACGTCATGTGAGCGCTCATAGGTTTGGCAGAGTTATGATCATAGACGGCGTATTTATGCGGGCTGATGTAAATGACAACTTTTTTGAAAACGATGTTGTGTGCACGATGTTATTATAGAAAATGGAGGGGGGGAATATTCGTTTCTCTAAATACCCGGCTATGTGTAAATGTGGCCGAAGTCACACTTTTCTTCATAGTTTGGCTGGTCCTGTGACTTATAGTCAGGTCCAACTTATATATATATAAAAAAATGTATTATTAATTTTAATATAGAGCAGCATTAAAGGATTAGTTCACTTTAAAAAAAACTTTTGCTGATAATTTACTCACCCCCATGTCATCCAAGATGTCCATGTCTTTCTTTCTTCAGTCGAAAAGAAATGAAGGTTTTTGATGAAAACATTCCATGATGTTTCTCCATTTAATGGACTTCAATGGGGTCCAAACAGTTCAAGGTCCAAATGTGAGTCTCAATGCAGCTTCAAAGGGCTTTAAACGACACCAGACGATGAATAAGGGTCTTATCTAGCGAAACGATCGGTCGTTTCAATAAATAAATAAAAAAGTTTAAGTTTTATAAGCACAAATGCTCGTCTTGCTCTGTTCTGTGATGACTCTGTTCCTAAGACCTTTTAAACGTAATTGCGTATAACGTGACGTCACGAACGCGCATCACAGAACAGAGCAAGGCGAGCTTTTGTGCTTATAAAACTTCAACTTTTTTATTTATTTATTGAAATGAGCGATCGTTTCGCCCTTATTCATCGTCTGGTATCTATCGTTTAAAGCCCTTTGAAGCTGCACTGAAACTGTCATTCGGACCTTGAACTGTTTGGACCCCATTGAAGTCCATTATATGGAGAAAAATCCTGGAATGTTTTCATCAAAAACCTTCATTTCTTTTCGACTGAAGAAAGAAAGACATGGACATCTTGGATGACATGGGGGTGAGTAAATTATCAGCAAAAGTGTTTTTAAAAGTGAACTAATCCTTTAATGCTCTATGCTGCTCCTGTAACAGTGTAACAAAAACTGTTAACTGAAACATTAACTTAAAGACAACTGAGAAAGACTGAACACAAACAAAATGGCCCCCAAAAGAAAATCCTATTCTGCAGATTACAAACTGGAGGTAGTCAAATATGCAGCCGAAACCGGTAATCGAGAAGCAGAAAGAAAGTTTGGAGTGAGTGAGAAACTTGTGAGGAACTGGCGAAAAGCAGACGTTACTCTAACCGTACTGAAGAAAACAAAGAAAGCTAATCGCTAAATAAGCTAATATTTTATATCTAATAAAAAGCTAATAAGCTAAATAATGAATTTGCAGACGGGCCTTCTGGGTGTTAGCGCTTCATGCAACGCAACCGCCTCTCTATCAGACTTTGTGAAATAAATTTCTAAATAGTCCAGTGCGACTTGTATATTTATATTGTACTTTTTTCCTCTTCATGACGCATTTTTTTACTTCTAGTCTGGAAAAAACAGTAATACTAAAAACTATTTAGACAGCAACGACAAAAAAACAGCATCATACAGTACTGTTCAAAAGTTTGGGGTCAGTAAAATAGTTTTAAATAAATGAATACTTTTATTCAGCAAGGATGCATTAAACTGATCAATAGTGACCATAAAGAAATTACGAAAAATGTCAGTATCAAATAAATGCTGTTCTTTTGATCTTTCTACTCAACGAATCCTGATAACCAAAATGTATCAGTTTCCACAAAAATATAAAAGCAACAAAACTGTTTTCAACTCTGAAAGTAATCATAAATGTTTCTTGAGCATCAGATCATCATATTAGAGTGATTTCTGAAGGATCATGTGACACTGAAGACTGGAGTAATGATGCTGAAAATTCAGCTTTGATCACAGGAATAAATTACACTTTACTATATATTCACATAGAAAACAGTTGTGTTAAATTGTAATAATATTTCACTTTTTTACTGTATTTTTGATCAAATAAATGCAGCCTTGATGAGCAAAAGAGACCTATTTTAAAAATAGAGAGAATGCATTGCAACAAGAAACCACAAGATGGTAGACAAAATATTGATTATAAAAAGACTTTAAAATATTTAAAACTAAACATATATGTGTTTTTGAACATGAAACCGTATATATGAATATATACTGATGATATCTGACCTTGCTGCCGGTCAGCTGCTGTAGATGAGGCTTCAGATCTTCACCGATGATTGAATAAATGGCCACCAAACAAAAAACACTGGCCTTGCGTACACTGCTCTCGGTGTTATCATAACCCTGAAACACACACACACACACACACGTTCATCTCGCTGTCTGTCTCTGCATCAGTTCTTGTGTGTGTGTGTTAGGGCTGTCACTTTTGTGAAAAAATCCTGTTAGATTTTTGAGACATTAGTGTTCATTGAATCGATTGTAAAATCGATTTCCCATGTCTAAAGACGTTTCCATTTTAACACCAAATATAGGCAAATCCACGGACAACTAACAGGCATTAGGACGAGCGTAAAGAGGCGCTTGAGACGCACAAGTCAGCAATATTCCTGATGATTTATTGGCGTGACGTTTCGTGCACAATGACAAACAGGAGCGCAACATTCAGGGATTGAGATTAACACCCTCAACCCGCCAACTGCGGGTAAAAATGAACTTTGGCGGGAAACGCTGTCAAATCACGAGCCAATCTGGCGTGTTTCTATGTTTACTCACTTTGCTGGGGAAGCCAAATCTGCGTGGATTTAGCGCAAATACGCAACTCGTGAGTCCTCATGATATATTAAATACAGCGTATTGCAGAATCTGCTCATTTCTGGCTTACTTGAACACACACGTCACTAAGCAACAAATAACGGTGCGCTTGTTCACTTGCATTGAAGTAATAGCGAATATTAAAAAGCATTTGGTTAACAGAAAAGACATTGTTATTTTCCAACATCCTACATGTTCTGTGTACTGTATTGATCTGTCCACCTAAAACACATTTTTGGTAAAAAAAAAAAAAATTAGAGATGCACCGATTACAATTTTCTAGGCCGATCCCGATTCCGATTTTTCCTTGTTTGACCTGCCGATACCGATTTCATTTTTTCAAACCACTTTACAGCACACACAAATATTTATTTTCTATCTTCTCTTTAATAGAACATTTTGCATAGAACATTTTTTAACAGATAATCGCTATAAAATAGAACTATATAAATTACTCCTGGTGTGGGAAATTCACACACATCTAAAGTGCAGTGTTATGGAAGAACCATTTCCTTCTTTTCACATCCAATATCCAACTAAAACAATTTGATATTTAGCAAACTAAACTTCTGTATGAAAACAGGTAATGACAATAAAATAATATATAAATAACAAATAAAAATAAAATAAATATTGCCTTGCAGTATAAAGATATTTCTCTCTCTCTCTCACACACACACACACACACACACACACACACACACACACACACACACACACACACACACACACACACACACACAGGCCTATTGCAATCACTTGTACATCAATGGCAATATATTTCTCAAACAGTTCTTCTCTCATCTGACACATGTCCAGCCAAGCAGGACAAGTGGAGCATGTGCAGGGAAACGATTGGGAAATGATAAAAACAAGTTTTAATGGGTAAATTTTCTATAAATATTTTTGTCTCTTCATTTTCTTTCTTTCTTTGACATAGCCTAGCCTACTTCAGTTCTTGTTAAAACACACCAGACATGCAAATTCTGTGCATTTTGGGCACTTTTTGGATGAAATCATATTTATTTTGTCCATCAAAAGTGAGCTTTCACTTAAATGGAGCGCAGCAAAAATGGACTCGATTGGCGCCGAAACCCGCGCTTCACTGTTGCTCACGCGACGCTCCTGCTCGACGCTCACGCGCGGCTCCGGCTCCCGGTGTGAATGCACTCATTGATTAACGCACGCCGAACAAACAAAAAAACGCGCTGCTCCCGCTTGCGGTGTGAAACGGCTGTAATTCATGAGGTTTCCTACATGTACGCGTTCCGTGTGCACGTGTGATGCTGATGTTGCGCGATGTTAATCATGCGGCGTCCGAGTGCATTTGACCGGCATAAAATCGGATTATGTCAGACTGACCGGCCGGTCGCCGATCATGGCCGATCACGTGAAAATCGGCCGATTCCGGTCACCAGCCGATCAATCGGTGCATCTCTAGTTAAAATCGATTCCCTATTTTCGTTTTCGATACTTGTGTTGGTTGGTCCGATCGATTGTGCAATCGATTTTCGCACGTTAAGTGACAGCCCTAGTGTGTGTGTGTGTGTGTTTATACCTGTAACAGTCCTGGGATAATGTCAGGCAGAAGCTGACCCAGGGAATCCTGGGGAATCCGCTCGATTACTTTGGTCTGCATCTTAATGGCGGCGAGGTTGATGGGATAGTCGGCCGTCTGGATGATGGGACACAGAACTTTGATGCACTGCTCGGGGTGGATTGATCCGGCCAGCGTGGAGGCCGTTTCTTCTGCGGCCCGAACGACCTGTGGAGCACATTATAAAAACATTAAAAACACGACCTCCAGACGACCTCCTCCTCCTCGGATGATGTCAGAGGTCAAGAAGGCCTGACCTCAAGGCCTCTCACTGTCCACAACAATACATCAAGGTCATGTGGGCTAAGATGTTTCCTCTGGTACATCTGCTGAAATGTTATCAAAGTTTTGATAATTAACCGCATATCAGGATTAATATAGTAACATAAGACCATAAATATTTTTTCCCCCCTTACTTCTAAAATAAATGTAAAAAAAAAAGTCTCATTGTCCACAGTGCCGCTGCTAGCCATTTTGGTGCCCTAAGCATAATTCCTTTATGATGTCCCCATGCCCCCCCTAAAAAAAAAAAAAAATTTATTTAGGATTTTCATTTAGGGGGGCTAAGCCCCCAATGAGGGTATGATTTATAAAAAAAATTTAAAAAGCTAAAAAGTAACACTTTAGATTAGGGTCTAATGCTTACTATTAACTAGTTTCATTACCATGCAATTAGGGCTGGGCGATTAATCGCACGATATTGTTATGCGCATCTAATCAGTAAAGCCGGTTCCTTGATTAGTAGTAAATCACCTTCACCTGCTTTCAGATGGAAGATATGATGCAGATATGACTCTATGAGTGTTAAATTAACACTCAAGAGTGTTAAAGGTAATGAGATAATTAAGTGATTAATTTAGTGATCATTGAGCATTATTGAAGACACCTGATGATAACAAGCAGAATCACTGAAGGAGAAAATCTAAAATTGTAAGCCACCGTTATGGCGATCAGTGTTTGCTTTAGTTGGGCTCTTGATCCTTATACTTTAAGTTTAAATTTTGTTTGTCTGCTGTTATTGATTTATAACAGTTAAAAGAACAAAGAAAAGTGTGATCTGATAGTGTTGGTTATGATTTGACATGATCATGCTGTGATCTGAAAAATGAAACTCATTCAGATGATCTGGTTTAACTTGATAGCAACAGTATAGTGATTCTACAGCATATGATAGTTGTATTTTTCTTATAATCCAAAACATTTAATAAAAATTGTTCTGTTCAAATCACTTTCAAATGCAAATTATTTAGAAACACAGACATCAATAATCAGCCTGTGAATCTCAACCGTGGTGACAATAATAATCCTTGTTGCCACCAATCACAACTCATTAATGGCTCCCATCATGCATTGCGGTATGTATAAATTATGATCTGATTTGTCCATGTAATTCACTTTTCCTAATTTAATATTCTGCTTGTCACCATTGTTGAGATGCATTGACTGAATCTTGATATCTATGTGTGCCTACAAGAAAGTTTTTTTTTTTTTTTTTTACAACCTTTAAGAAATCCTTTATATTATATCTCAAATTTTTGATATATATGCAGAATCTCAGTTATGCTGTAACCAACAGCATTAATCACAAACAATTAGTTCAAATGATGAAAGTCATAATATAACCAACATCATTAGATCTTTTTTGTTTTTCTTTGTTCATCTGGCAGTTATAACTCAGATACAACAGCCGAACAAAATCTAAAGTTAATAATCTAAGGGTCAAGAGCCCAACTAAAGCAAACACTCATCTCCATAATGGTGACCTGAAATTCCGGTTTTCTCCTTCAGTGATTCTGCTTTAGGTGTCTTCAATAATGCTCAATCATCACTCAATTAATCACTCAAATATCTCATTAACTTTAACACTCTTGAGTGTGGACTCATATACACTCCCAGGTGTGTTCATTTAACACTGAGTTTTTGCTGTGTACAAAGAGCCGTAGTTAACTGACAAGCTGAGCCATATCGCATTAAATATCGTTGGCGATATGTCCTCGATTTTAATGCGATTTGGCTCAGCTTGTCAGTTAACTACGGCTCTTTGTAGTAAATGCCGCTCCATCTGAAAGCAGGTGAAGGTGATTTACTACTAATCAAGGAACCGGCTTTACTGATTAGATGCGCATAACAATATCGTGCGATTAATCGCCCAGCCCTACATGCAATGGCATGGTTTTATAATCACTGGGATCCCGAAATTGAGGCAGGTTAGTTAGGGGTGTTCGGGGGAAATTTGGGATTTTTCTGAACTACAGATGTGCATTTTAAAGATGTTGTGAAGGCAAAAAAAAAAAAAAAAAAATTCGATAACAACAGCTTTAAAACTATGTCAGTGGGCAGCTGATTATTTTTCTCTCCTCATCAGCATCACACTCTTTTTCTCTTTGTTTTTATCTTGCCCTGTCTCTTCCCCTCCTAAAGTTGGATTTTTTAATTTACTAAAGGTTACAATTTGTATTTTATTCTCAATATGTACACATTCATTATAAATCCTGTGCCTAAGATGATGAAAACGGCTTTGTTCATGTTTCTTGTCCCCTCACAATGACAGTAGCCTAAACTATTACACTAGGCTACATGTTACATATAGGCCTATTTTCAGTTCAAAATGGCGAAATTAGACAAAACTATATTAGTTTGCCTAATTATTTTTTGTCATTCGTTTAACATTTATGACCTAAAAAAAAACTGTCAAATAAAGTTAAGTTTAGCTACTTACATCTTATCTCGCACTTGACCGTACACTGAAGCGTCGAGTTGCACTGTTAAAATTCGCGCTCAGCGTCTGTGAACATAAAGCCCGCCTACTTTGATTTGATTGGTCATCTCAAATATTCTGACATTGACGAGCAGTGACAGACCAATGATGAACACACACATGAACACATCACACACACACACACACACCCTGTCCTGTGTTTCTGACGTGCTCTCTGTCTCTGCTCGGCGCCGCTGCGGAATGAAGAGGAAGAACGCGCTGAATCTGATTATAACAAGAAGTTTGATGATTGGTTTTTCATTAGGCTATTTTTGGTGCCCCCTCAGCACTTGGTGCCCTACGCACAGCGCGTGATGCGCGTGGTGGGAGCGGCGGCGCTGATTGTCCACAATAATATTTCAAGTTCATGTTTGTTAATATGTTTCCTGTGTTTATATTTTCTGCTTTCCTATGTTATATCAGGGTTAATATAGTTACATAAAAACATTTTCCTTACTTATAAAATAAATGTTAACTGAAATTTGCCACCATTTCTCATTTTCATTCAGTTTTACTTAACTTACTAAAACTGTTTTTTTTTTACTATACGGACATATAGAGAATAATAATAATAAATAATAAAGGTTGTTTTTTTAAATCATAACAAAATGACAAAAAAATTTACTGAAATAAAAATGAAACCAAAAAATATATAAATAAAAACTAATTAAAAATATTAATAAAAACTATATCATTGATACTAAAATAAGTATGTTTAATTTATTAAACCATATAGTAAATACAATTATTATAATTAGGTAAAACAAATAAAATTTCATAAGTTCCAGAAGTTAAGGGTTCCTAGACTTTTTAGCCAATGAATTTGCATGACTTTTCTGGTTGTTCATAATTTACAGATCTTTATATATATATTTGTAATAAAATATTTCTTACTCAATTTTTACCAAATAGAATATTTTAGCATAACTAGAAAATTGTATATTCCTAATAGAAATGTCCATGGACTTTAAATATATTAGATATATATATAAATCACACTTTTTAAAATAAGCCCAGTGTTGTTTTACTATCATTGATATGCTATTATATATTTTTTAGATTACTTTTATATTTTAATTTTAGTTCAAATTTGAGTAATTTTGTCATCTTTTTATTAATTTTTTATATGCCTATATACTTTATTTAATTTTAGTTTTTAGTTTTAGTTTATTTAGTTTGTTGTTTTACTTATTTGCCTTGGCTGAAATAAACTAGCTGAAATAAAATAAGTTATTTTATATTTCATTTTATTTCAGGTAACATTTATTTTATCAAAACTAATCATTTTTTTTCCGTGGTTTTAGTTAATGATGATAAAAATAAATAATAAATAGCCTTCCTCATATATATCATTTATGGGAATCCTGGTTCTTCATAGAGAAAGTGCAGTTTTTAGTTTTTTGTACTTTATATTATAATTAATGCTTGTTTTGTCCTCTTTAAGGCTGTTTTAGAGAGAGAGAGAGAGAGAGAGAGTGAGTGTGTCTCGCTCACCTCTTTATGACAGTCTTTATGGGCCTCCAGTGTCTTCATGATGGTGAGTTCTGCATAGTTCTTGAAGCGCGCTGGTTGACCTCGCATGATCTCCTTCAGGACACGCAGCGCCAGCGCTCGGATGGTGTGCTGTGGACACACACACACACATCATCATCATCTGTTTGTTCTGTTGCGCATCTGGGGTGTGTTTCCCGTACAACACCGTAACTCGTGCTTCACTACTATAGTCGACGCGTCGTTGAAGAAATCCACTAACTGTTTCCCAAAACCATATTGTCGCAAATTGATCGTTCAACCACATTGGGTAATGATTTAGTAATAACTTATTTTAATGAATCTGTTTGAGGTCCAATTAATGCGAGATGTTTTGCTATAAATTAGAGACATGCATCTGAGGAATATTTCTAATTTTTCTCAGTTATTTCGCTTTATTTCCAGATTCGATCATAGTCTCGTTCACACACACTAGAGCTCGTTCACACACACTAGAGGAGCTCGTTCACACACACTAGAGCTCGTTCACACACACTAGAGCTCGTTCACACATGCACACTCTTCACAAACGACACTTTAAATCTCTTGACAAACTAAAAGACGTAAATGACATTTGTATACACTCTAAATAAAAGACACAGGTTGCACTGAATGTCAGTTTGCTTATTTTCCTCAAGATAATGACGTATTGAGTCCACATGTCATGAAAACAAGAAACTGCTTCTAACCACAGCTCGAGATCTGTCGCTCACACACACACACCTCTGCGATGCTGTTTGCGAATGTTCGTTGTAACGATGGTTTCGGGAAACACGACTCGTTGAACTGCCGATAACGACGGAACTTGCGACCATAGTTGGCTAACGATGCTTTCGGGAAACACACCCCTGTATGAGTGTGTGTGATGAAGACGAGCGTGTCTCACATCTTTATCTCCCAGCGTCTCCAGCAGCAGCAGAAGCATGGTTTTAAAGTGCTCCTCCCACAAGGCCAGACTGTCGTCGCGCGTGACCTTCAGCAGCTCCAGCAGAGCGGCCCGCCTCTCCTCCACACGCTCGCTGTGATTGGACAGCTCCTTCAGCAGGTCACCAACCATCTCCAGGGGCTGCCCGGGTCCTGACCAATCAGAGTCCACCACAAGAAACACACACTGACCTGGCAGTCTGAACACTCAGTTCATACTGTGCTCGTTTTGTTTGGCTAGTTTGGTTATTTGTTTGGCTATTAACATCCCTGCGTTTAAAAGACGTCTAATAGCCATCCAAACACAGCCCAAACGTTTAAAACAAGGCAAAATTCAAAAGTAATAAAAACATAACGGTTCATTATGTAAGGTCTATATACACCACTGAAAACATAGTTATGTATATTATATTGCATTTCTGTCAACAGATCCTCCTAAATATTACACACTGCACCTTTAAAATAGCTTGAATTGCCAATACCCAGCGAACATCCCTGCGTTTAAAAGACGTCTAATAGCCGTCCAAACACAGCCCAGACGTCTAAAACAAGGCAAAATTTTGGCTGTCAGTGAAAATTTTATAGACGCCCAAAAATAGACTAGTCGTTTCATTTCATTTCTTTGTTATCTAAGTCTATTTTGGGCTATGGTTTAGGCGTCTATTAAATTTTCACTGACCGCCCAAATTTTGCCTTGTTTTAGACGTCTGATGTTTGGACGGCTATTAGATGTCTTTTAAACGCAAAATTGCTTGCTGGGTATTGGCTATTTAAGCTATTTTAAAGGTCTGTCGACAGAAATGCAATTTTATATACATAACTATGTTTTCAGTGGTGTATAAAAACCTTACATAATGAACCGTTATGTTTTTATTACCTTTGACTGAGTTATATCTATCTACACACACCGCGGGTCCCCTTACAAGGACATGTTTCTACAGTGGCCCTAAACGGACAAACGCGTTTCATCACTATGTTGTTCTTCGTGCAAAGACGCTAGCTAAAGTCAGGGAATAAAACACTGGCACAATGATGGACAAGTAACAATAATATTTGCAATAACATTGTTTTACTGAATAATTAAGTTAACCTAATTTCTTAATTTATCTTTGTAAAGAAACCTCATTGCTAAACTGGCTACTCTCTGCTGTCTCAGACGATGACATCACTTCCTGTCGGCCACCGTAACTTCTGCTGGTTGCAATTCGCAACGTCACCACTAGATGCCGCTAGAAATCACACACTGAACTTTTAAGGCATGACGACATTTTTTTTCAAGGAAAAAACATTTAAATATGTCATTTTGGTGATCAAAGCGGTGATAAAATGACTGACTACGGGGGAACTTTATTTCTTTTATCCTATTCATCTCGGGTGTCTTGCCTCAGAGTTCATGGTAAATCTGTTTTGACATGTTTATACATGATCTAGAGAGGCGTTAAATGATATTTTCATTTACAGAAACTGACTTGTGCTCTTCAAACCGTTCAAAACATCGCCATACCTGCAGAAAAACCTTTGGGGTGCATGATCTTGTTTTCTCCACAGTCCTGCTGAAGACCTGAAAGAAGAACCCAAAGACGTTGGCCTGTTTCTGTGAACATCACGAAGAGATTCTCCAGTAGATGTTTGTTCGTTTACCCTCTCGGATCTGCTCCCCGTCGTCGAACACGGCGAGCGCTCCCTTCTCGTAGGCGCTGATGTCGCTGTAGTTGTAGGGGTTGTACTCGCGTGTCCACGGGCCGCTGAACGATCGAGGGGACGGTGTGTTTAATAGTGACGTCTTGTTGTCCAGCGCCGTCCGGCCTCCCTCCAGACGAGGATCCACACCAGACGACGCCACACCGGTCTGAATGACAAACATGGTTATTTAACTTTAACCTGAGTGATTATAACATTTAATTAATCCAAACTTTTTTTTATTGTTAAAATCCCCCTGTAGTCAACAACTGTATCTCTTTTAACTCACCAAAATGACATATCTAAACGTTTTTCCTTGGGAAAATTCTTTATGCCTTAAAATAGCTTGAATGTAACTCGACACCCTTGCCTCATTTAGTATGCACGGTTCTATGAATATGCAAATGAGCCCCGCCTCCACTCACTCACTCAGCTCAGAGATCCACTGGTTGACGATCACACGTTGATCTGATTGGTTACAAGGTCGTTTGTGACGTCAGAAACACCAGCGATTTCAAACCGTGTTTTTGAGACTGTCTTTGGTTCACTGCAGTTTTAAGGAGGAAATACTCAGCAATGCTGTCGACTTATGAACTTACACATGGTTTGTGTTAAAGCGTATTAAAAACACCACATAGACACATAAACAACATCACAAACTGAATTTTCACCACAGGGGGACTGTACATTTTATGTAGTTGCTTTCTCAAAATGGTCACATTATTTATGTTGTTTTATCTTAATATAAATTAATTAGGGCCGGGACTCGATTAAAAAAATTAATCTAATTAATTAGAGGCTTTGTAATTAATTAATCGAAATTAATCGAATTTTAATCGCATAAATATTTGACCTGAGAACTGTGAGAAGTAATTTTTTTCACATGGATTTTTAGTATACCATTGAATAATGACTGCATACATAAGCTTAAGCAACAAAATATTGTTTATTTTTGTTCAACCAAGTCCAGCAGACCAGTGCAATTTTTGCCATTAAGTGTAGCAATAGCATATTGCAACAAAATAGCATATTGCTACACTACACTAATAGCACTACACTAATAGCCATAATAGCCATTAAGTGTAGCAATAGCATATTGCAACAAAATAGCATATTGCTACACTACACTAATAGCAATAGCGAATTCCTTGTTGCATAGTTTGCACACAACCATGCTCTTATCGACGCGTCCATCCGTTCGTTTTTTGTAACAACATTTCCCAGCCACCGGCCAACCAAAGCGATCTCGTCAGCTTCTTCGTCATGAACGCTAGTTGGTGCGCCAGTATAATCGGTCCGCCGAAACTCATCCAGTGAGAAACGTTCCGCGGTGCAAAAATAAGTGCGATTAAAAATTATTTTTTGTGTAATTAATTAACGCGTTAAAGTGTGTAATTAATTAATCTTAATTAACGCGTTAAAGTCCCGGCCCTAAAATTAATATATATTAATCATACTTTTTAAAATAAGGCTGGTGTTATTTTAGTAGTGCTGATATACTATTATAGCTTTTGTTAATCTTTGGATTAAGATTATTTTTATATTTTCTGTTTTTTAATTTTAATTTTAGTTATAAATTTGAGTAATTTTTTAATTTTATTTAGTTTGTTATTTTAGTTAATGAGAAAAGTTGTCAACTAGCTGAAATAAAATATTTTATTTCAGTTAATGTTTATTTTATTAGAAGTAATAATGATTTTTTTCATGGTTTTAGTAACTTGTAATAAAATAAACATAAATATTTATTATCATTAAAGCTGCAGTCCGTAGCTTTTTTGGGTTAAAAATGATCCAAAATACATATTTGAGCAAGTACATAACCAGCCAGTGTTCAAAACTCTCTGCTTGCCTTAAAAACGATTCAAAGCGGTAAGCTTGTAATAATGTTTTTAATTCCAGTGGTACTGGTGGATTTCCGCGGGAGATTCGAGCATGTCTTTGCGTCATTACGTCACATCTGTACACACACACACATCTGTACACACACACATCTGTACACACACACATCTGCACACATAAAGAAGAGTCTCTGCTAGCATAAGCTATATTGAGTGTGAGGATGCTGGAGGTGGAGATTTATAGCCTTTTCTCACAGCACTTGATATAATTAAACTTATTAATTTGATGGCGGATCCAGAAAGGTTCAAACGACGATCACCAGAGACAACTAGAGACTCACCCGCTGTAAAATACAGAAGACTTCGTTCGGACTTCGGAGCGGCTACAGACAAAAAGAGACTGCAACCGGACACATGCGAAAACACGGATAATATCAGAAGGACATTACATGTAGTCACGCAATGCTGACGCTGTTAACATTAACAATTTGAGAACAGAGTATAATTTGCACGGTTTTGCGTGATATGATAAGCGATTTTTAGATTTAATCAGCGCGATTTACTGCAATGTCAGAACCAGAACAAAAGTGGATGTTTCTTACTTGTTCAGATTACATTTTCCGGTGAAAATTATTATGTTGGTCATACTTTCAAAAAGTATAATCTGTGATTGTGAATGCCAGTATCCACACCGGCGGTGACTGACACACACACCTTCCTCAAACACTGTGTTCATCCGCGCTGTGCCGCGCCGAGGCACAACTCACGTAAAGTTGATAACTCCGCGAATGACTGCAATTGCAGATTTCGAACAGAGATGGCGACTAAGAGGAAAAACTGCGGACTGCAGCTTTAACTAAAATTTTCTTAAAAGTCGCTGAAACTATAACTATAAACAATGAAACTATTGCTGGTTACGGGCCACAAGCTGCTAACACAACAAGTTTTGCAGTATAAACAACTTCATGCAGAACTAGATCAGCGGAGCAACAGATTGAGGTCGTACTCACCGGATCTTCCCTCTTGCCGTCACGTTTGATGGGCTCGAGGATTTCCTCCTGACTGCGGAAACTGAAGCTCTGGATGGCTTCGGTTACGCCTCTCAGAGAGCTGAAGATCTCCTCAGAGTTCATGTTCTCAGTGTCGTACTCCAGCATACTGTAAACACACAGTGAGGTGTGACTCCATACACACTGATTTCAACATATAACACACACAGGACGGCACACAGACACAGATGAATGTGTTTTCTGCTCAGCTGCAAAGGAAAAGTGACACATCTTAAATGTTTCATACAAACTTCTGCATTCGCCACGAGTCCCATGAAGCAAAGCGGCGGAAACAAAACAAATCGGGTGGATGAGAGACAGAAAGACGCCACAAAAGTGATGAAAATGTGGGACAGATTCTCACTTCGCTAAAATTTTCGGGATTTTACTCTTAAGACAAGACACTACAGGTAAATAGTGTAAAAAATGTAAATAATCGACACAGTACATTAAGACAATTGTTTTTTCTTTTCTGAAATGTTGTTTAAATATGCAAATGAGGCAGAATTTAATCAGAAAACCAAACTGATTGGATGAAGCCAGGCTCAAAATCCATGTTTGATTTTGTTGACATATTAGAGTTAAAGCTTTTTACAGAAAGGTTTATAACTCCATAAATCAGAAAATACTGCCAAAAAACACATTTTTACCATGTTTTAGGAATAAAGTGTTCTATAAATCAGGAATAAAACTGTAAAGTTTGGTGTACCCTAGTGAAAAATAAATATACTAAAATGTATTTGAAATACATACATTTTATGCTAAGTACACTACAAACATATTTACATATGTATGTGCTTAATATAAATACCATGCAATTGTCCTTTTATGGCGCTTTTCCATTACCAGTACCAGCTCGACTCGACTCGACTCGCCTTGGCTCGCCTCGACTCGGCTCGCTTTTCGCTCCGTTTTCCATTGCAGAAAGTACCGCCACAAATAGTACCCGGTCGTCATAGCGACGCATTTCGTTCCTCGTTGCCCCATCAAGCTCTCGCTGGATCCTCTCTTCGGCAACCAAACAAAGGAATGTCTGCACCTCCTCGTTTGACCACGGCGTATTCTTCCGAGTTGCCATAATAATAGTAGTAAGTTTAGTAACTATCTCTGGCCAAACTATTTAAAAATTGCAGGGTTATTCTGGATACTCCATCTGGCGCGTGCAATGATGACGCAGATTCTCTGTGACCAATCAGCAGTCGGCATTGTTTTCACGTCACATTTTAGTATCGGCTTAGCTCGCCTCAGCTCGCTTAGAACCTCGCCGGAGGTGGTACGAAAAAAAGTACCCGAAAGCAGGTACAGGTACAACTTTTACACAGTGGAAAACCAAACAAAGGCGAGTCGAGCCGAGCCGAGCCGAGGCGAGCTGGTACTGTGTAGTGGAAAAGCGCCATTAGTATACTAAATTTGTATACTTAAAGTCTGCTAAATTGGAACAACTAATTTTGTACTTAGTTATCCAGAAATAGTGCTGAGGTCCAACTAAAGATATACTGAAGTATATTTGATTGAGCTTAAGTCGAACTAATGCAAGAATACTCTTTAAATATCCTGTATTTAAAGACTAATAGTGACATTAAACACATTTTAGGCTTAATATTAAGAAATGTGCATTGTGCAATAAAAAATAATTCCAAATAAAGTTTAATTATAATATTTATATCACTAAAATAGTGCTCAGGCGATAGTCAGTAAATATGTTAATGGATTTGCAGTATACTTAGTATTAAATAAATGTATTTTAAATACATTTTGATATAGTTTTTTTTCACTAAGGTAAAGCGGCTGAAGTGAAGATTTCTGACTTTAAAGACATGTATTGTGATCGAAATCTACAGATGAAAACTTAACATTCACACTTAAATGTGTATTTTGGATATTTTCTTTCCACTAGTCTGAAAGAAGAATGGAAGCAAAATAGGCCAAAACCTCAAAATTGACCAGTGCATGAAAAGACAATGATTTTGCCTGAAGCGTCGCGCTTTAAAAGGACAACGCCGGCGCGAAATGAACCTTTGGTGTAATAACACATTGGTACCGAGTCGACCGTTCTCTGGGATTTGTTTTCATGATAATCGAATGTAAAGAGTTTTATCTCTAATAACTGTTTAGCTTATAACGCTAGTATATAGGGCATAGAATAAGAAGATACTTTTCAGAGACAATACCAAAGCCCGTCTACGGAAAGCCTGGCCACTCCCTATTAAGTCCTATTGTACCGAATTCTGGTTGTAGTTCCACCAGAGTTCCACTGGGGGCGATCATCCGAGTGCAAAATGAATGGGAGTCTATGGAGCTTGACGGCTAAATTTGTCTCTTTCACCCGATTGCCGTTGAGAAATCTCAGATTTGATTATAGGTTCTGCAAGTTCAACATGGGTTATAGGTCGAAAGTTGAATGAACAAGTACTTATGTCCTTTTGATTTCTTACAGGTTGAGTTGTTGTCGCCAATAACACGCTAGCATTCTGCTAATGAACGCTGATTGGTCAGTGAAGGACTGATTACGACCAGAGACACCGCTTGATGGCATCGTGGCATCCGAAGCGGGACCAATGTTAAGGCAGACTTAACTCTTCTAGCACGTGTGTTTACCTGTGTCAGCTGTGTTGTCGATGCCTCGAGAGAAAGGAAAGTGCAGAGCGCGAAAGCACCAAAGTGACTGAAGGATTGCCGTAAAGCAGTATCTCTGGTCGCACGATGTGTATGACGTCATTAACATTTTAAAAGACTTTTTAAAGCAAATAAGTGACTCTAAAAAATCTAACACCCAATAATCTGTAATTTCTTTGCATCTCCTTTCGAAAACAACATTCAAATTGCTAGACAAAAAATTATATCTTGAGAAAAGTGGATTTTGAGGGGTATATCTCCATAGACCTCCATTCATTCTGCACTCGTCCTGTGAGCGCCCTCATGTGGAGCCAGAGTGGAACTGCAACCAGTGCAGGAGCCGTAAGTTTACTGAGAGTGAAAGTTCAATAGTTGACAATACACTTTGCGTATACAGGCAGAAGCCATCTTGGAAAACAGTCTCGACCAGTCGAACCACAAACGCCGTGATAAGTGAGCTGGTCGATCGGAATTACGTTTGTGAAATCTAATTACATGGAAATGCATGAATTATATCTGTTTATTAAACTTATTAAACTCACTTAGCACGGCGTTCGTGGTTCGACTGGTCGAGACTGTTTTCCACTGACTTTATAAAGCATCTTCTTATTAAACTGTCTGTACACCTAAAAAGTCCTCGATGCTTCCGTTTGCATGTAGGGACCCTCATTATGCTAGCGTGTTAGTGTGGGGGTATTTTGAGCCTTGTTAGCGATTTCTTTTTACTTATTCTATGCCCTATATACTAGCGTTATAAGCTAAACAGTTTTTAGAGATAAAACTCTCTTTACATTCGATTATCATGAAAACAAACCCCAGAGAACGGTCGACTCGGTATGAGTGTGTTATTACACCAAAGGTTCATTTCACGCCGGAGTTGTCCTTTAAAAGGGATAGTTCACCCCAAAATGTAAACTCTGTCAGTAATTACTCTCCCTCATGTTGTTCAACCCCGTAAGACTTTCGTTCATCTTCGTTCACAAATTAAGATATTTTAGATTAAATCTGAGAGCTGGATCACTCCTCCATAGGCTTCTTAAGGGATTGAAACTGGCCGGCCCAGAAAAGTTATTAAAGACATCGTTAAAATAGTCCGAGTGACTACAGTGGCTCAATCTTAAGTTTATCAAGCGACGAGAATACTTTTTGTGCAAAAAACAACAACAAAAAAACCCGACTTTATTCAACAATTCATTTCCTTCTCTGTGGGCCTCGAGATTTCACGCAGTGTAACAGCGCAGCGCTTCTGGGTTGCACGTCACACACATCCAGTGGTGGAATGTAACGAAGTACAAATACTTCGTTACTTTACTTAAGTACATTTTTCACATATCTTTACTTTACTTAAGTAGAATCAATAGTGCATACTTATTACTTTTACTTCGTTACATTTTGCAGCCATTATTATACTTTCTACTCCACTACATTTCTACAACATTCTGTTACATTTTCTGATCAGTTTTCCTCTGCCAAAACGTCATCCTGACCATCCGTTCGTCGCACGTTTGTCTCACCAGTGAAGTTTGGTTGCCATATCAACCCGGTCACACTAAATGCGTCTCTATAGCACGCAGTGTGTTTATCGTGCAATTTATACGCGGAACTTTGTTTTTACGTGCATGGGGGGGATACATTTTTGTCATTGGTTGTTGCGTTAAATCTTACCCAGATACAATAGTGCTATTTTCTGATTGGCTATTGTGTAGTTCGACGAACAACACCAGAGGAAACGCGCTTGATTCATGCCGGTTCCACAGTGAGAGCGGCGCGGCCAGAGTTTTGGGCGCTGCGGCATATTAAATATATTACAAATAGTTATTCACCGTGAGAAATACAATGTGTGGCGGGAGAGGGTGACAAAAGACCGAAATGAGTGACTGTCACGCTCAATGCGTGACACTTGAGAGCCCTGGGATTAGTATGGCAAGCCAAGAGGTTCAGAATTACGCCATAAATTAATCGCGTTTACAGCCAAACCCCGTCAAATTAAGCTTGATGTGTATATTGCCTAATTGCAAGCTTGTTCTGAAATGGTGACAAAAACTTAAAAAATAAAGTTTTTTCCATCATATTGAACATCATTATAGGATTATTAGGTTGAATGAGTTAGGATTAACTGTTAGATTAACTGAGAATAAATTGTTATGCAAGTACTTTTACTTTTAATACTTAAAGTACATTTAAAATCAGGTACTTTTTACTTAAGTAGGGTTGTCATTGTGGTACTTCTACTTTCACTAAAGTAAATATGTCTCTGGTTATTTGTACTTTTACTTAAGTACTGAGATTCAGTACTTCCTCCACCACTGCACGCATCACACACACACACACATGACCAGCGTCGGCCAATAGTGAGCCTGTGTGTGATGTACAACCCAGAAGCGCTGCGCTGTTACACTGCGTGAACTCACTCGAGGCCCACAGAGAAGGAAATGAATAGTTGAATAAAGTCGTTTTTTTTTTTGTTTTTTTTTGCGCACAAAAAGTATTCTCGTCGCTTGATAAACTTAAGGTTGAGCCACTGTAGTCACTCGGACTATTTTAACGATGTCTTTCATAACTTTTGGGCCGGCCAGTTTCGATCCCTTAAGAAGCCTATGGAGGAGTGATCCAGCTCTCAGATTTAATCAAAAATATCTTAATTTGTGAACGAAGATGAACGAAAGTCTTACAGGGTTGAACAACATGAGGGAGAGTAATTACTGACAGAGTTTTCATTTTGGGGTGAACTAACCCTTTAAAAGGAATGTTCTGGGTTCAAATAAACCCGAAACAATCCTTTAAATGTCATGCATTGAGTTTGATTTATTAGACGGCCAATCCAATGAAAAGATGGACAAGTATGTAGGAGAATCAGTGTCCTGACGCCCGGGCCGAGGTTTGTTACCTGGGCGAGTACGCCCTCCGATGAGCCCGGAGCGGGGGGGTGGTGGGGCCGGGGTGGGGGGGAGGGAGAGGAGAAGAAGCCTTTGAGCTCCAGCCCCATAAACGACTGGGCCGAGAGGAAGAGGAGGATGAAGAGAGAGCAGGGAGGATAGAGACAAAGAGGAAAGGTCGAGTGAAAGACGCTACCGTGTTCTGAGGAAACATGACTTTTGTTGTAGTGTTTATTTTCTGTTGTTTTTGGTCTATTTTGTGTCTATGGTGGTATACTGAGTTTTTGGTTTGTATATTATATGTTGTACGTTTATGTTATCGAGCTTTTAGTAGCTTCTTTGGGGTTCCCTTTCACACGACCTATATATGACCATTGTTTCTTCTGAAATTGTGTGTAAATGATATAATGATGACGTGTGAAATAAACGAAACGACGAGGGTTCGAATACTTACGGTCAGGAATCGGATAATTGTTATTAAAATAAAATTTCGATTCCTCTTATCGATTCCTTTGTGAGCATTTCAATATGACTTTAAACCAAACAAGCGTGGAATAAATTCCAACAATAAAAGTTCAATTTAAATGAGTCTTTAAGAGTCGTTGAATCATTCACTCAAACCGATTTAAAAAATGTTTTTTACTGAATTACATTTTTTTAAATAGACTGCAGAAATTAACATTTTGTCAGAAGCTTTAGTAAATTACATGTAGTTTGTTTAGTTGTCTATGCAGAATCGTGATCTCTATTTTTAAACAATAAAATCTTGATTCTCAATTTATCCAGAGTCATGCAGCTCTAGTTAGCTAAGAATATTAAGTCGTGACATTTATTTCTATAGCGCTTTATACAATACAGATTGTTTCAAAGCAACCTCACATCAATAAACAGGAAAATAACAAAGTTAATGTTGTCAAATTAATAAATTGTGAAACAAATTAAATTTCAGCTATAAAGCAGCTCTACAGAAGACAATAGAGTCATTATAATGATAGATAGATGTGTATTGTTTACCTTCTTAAATATTGTACTGTTTTTTACTGTGTTTTGTATATTGTACTGTGTTGTGTTTTGTGAAATGTGTAGCCTCCTATGGACAAGTGTTGTAAATTAGCAGTTTTGCTATAACACTAAAAAACTATTGATCTGGTTTGTCCAATGCTGTTGTTATGTCCATATCAAATAAATAAATAAAATAAAGCTAAATTCAGTTTAATGTTGATTCAATTCAGTTCAATAATAGTGCCAATGTTCCCAGTGTCAGTGCGGTTATGCTAATTGTCTATTATTTTCTTAATATTTTTTTTTTCTGTGTGTAAATTACTAAGGTAAATTGTTATTAAAATGAAAATTATTTATAAATATTTAAGGTGATTTATTTAATAAAATTGCTTAAAATAAAAAATGTATATTTAATATTAAGAATATAATAGACTGCAGTACAATAACTCTGCAGCGTTTTTCTTCTGGCTCAGATTTCATGTAGTCCTGATGATGTCACACAGATGTGTTTTGTGTGTTATTGTGTCTCCGGTGACATACCTGGGAGAAAGTCCTCCGTGCGAGCAGTTGGTGGGTGACGTGAGCGGGCTGGTGCGGGTCACGGGGTGTCTGGGAGGAGCGCGGGTCACGGGGCTGCTGGGAGATGCCTGAGACTTAAAAAAAAAAAAAAATAATGCTGTATTATGCAGGTCAGACAAGTAATTTGGTGATGTCAATTTGTAAAGAAAGACTATACACCTGCGTACACTAGGCATGTGCCGGTATCAAATGTTCATGCTGCGGTTAATAGATTGAGCTTTGATCACGGTATACGGTATTATCACGATATTTTAATTGCTCAAGAGAAACAGATGGATTGTGGGTATCTAAAAAAACAACAAGTTGCATCACAATGTGTAATTGTGATTTTCAAAACATATGGTAACTAAACAGAATTTTATTAAGTTTAGTGACAACATGTTACAATGTTTACATGCTACAATGACTGGTAGGCTACTGTTTGTATTATTCAATTAAATTCTTGGATTTGATTTCAATCTTAATTCAATATTGACTCATTTGGATAAATATTAGGTAGGCTACAGTCTGCATGTTAATTTTTCATTATATGCGGTTTTCATTATAATAACAATTATGTAATGACAAGTAAACATATAATAAATATGTAATATAGTGCACATATTTAGCCAAATACTCCTCGCTATTTTTTCTAGTCAACTAATGTGGTGGTCATTAAATGGCTTTCCTGAGGTAAATGTAACGTTCTGTGACATAACTGTTCTCCTGCAGTTTTATTGACCTCTTTCCGTGTTTGAAAAACACTGATTGATCAATATTATGTATGAGGCATATACCTTTCGGTAAGTTGTACTGTATCTTTAAATAAAAAGTAAAAGATGATTAGTTTACTTGAACTGAGGCGCTACAGCGATCTAGCCTGACTTCGTCATACTCATATTCTAGTCAGAGTGTGAGTCTGATACTGCTCCATAGGGCTTTGATTATGAGGCGTGTCGAACCAGGAAAAAAAAGACCTACAACCAATCAGAGCAACGCAGTAAGTGTTTTTTTTTTTTATGAGCTACGCAAATTGTCAACAGAACTCAACTACACACACGCTGGAAGAAGTAGTACAATAATGAGTGTTGCTTCTTTTACTTGGTCCTCCATGAGTGCGACCAAAGGAGAAACCACAACGACCACAGGGTTTTCATTGCGTCCCATCTTCTCAGCGACCATTAGTGAGCATCGAAAATACATTTTGGTCCAAAAATAACAAAAACTAGGCCTTTATTCAGCATTGTATTGTCTTCCGGTTCTGTTGTGGATCCGCGTTCAGTGACGCCGCTGACGTAAGACGCTGCTGACGTGTGTCTGGTGTGTGTGTGTGTGTGTGTGTGTGTGTGTGTGTGTGTGTGTGTGTGTGTGTGTATTCTGGTTCTGTTGTGGATCCGCGTTCAGTGCCGCTGCTGACGTAAGACGCTGCTGACGTGTGTCTGGTGTGTGTGTGTGTGTGTGTGTGTGTGTATATTCGGGTTCTGTTGTGGATCCGCGTTCAGTGCCGCTGCTGACGTAAGACGCTGCTGACGTGTGTCTGGTGTGTGTGTGTGTGTGTGTGTGTGTATTCTGGTTCTGTTGTGGATCCGCGTTCAGTGCCGCCGCTGACGTGTCTGGTGTGTGTGTGTGTGTGTGTGTGTGTATTCTGGTTCTGTTGTGGATCCGCGTTCAGTGCCGCTGCTGACGTAAGACGCTGCTGACGTGTGTCTGGTGTGTGTGTGTGTGTGTGTGTGTGTATTCTGGTTCTGTTGTGGATCCGCGTTCAGTGCCGCCGCTGACGTGTCTGGTGTGTGTGTGTGTGTGTGTGTGTGTATTCCGGTTCTGTTGTGGATCCGCGTTCAGTGCCGCTGCTGACGTAAGACGCTGCTGACGTGTGTCTGGTGTGTGTGTGT